AAGGGTCTGGAAACCAAGTCCTATGAGGAACGACTTAGGGAGCTGGGGGTGTTTAGCCTGGAGAAGTTAAGAGGGGATATGATAGCTTTCTTTAAATATTTGAAGAGATATCATATTGAGGAGGGAGCTAGCTTGTTTTCTGCTGCTCCAGAGAATGGGACCCGGAACAATGGGTGCAAGCTCCAGGAAAAGAGATTCCACCTCAACATTAGGAGGAACTTCCTGAAAGTAAGGGCTGTTCGTCAGTGGAACACACTCCCCCGGAGAGTAGTGGAGTCTCCTTCCTTAGAGGGCTTTAAGCAGAGGCTGGATGGCCATCTATTGGGGATGCTTTGATTAGGAGTTCCTGCATGGCAGAATGGGGTTGGACTGGATGGCCCTTGTGGTCTCTTCCAACTCTATGATTCTATGATTCTATTGAACTCACTGGTAGATGATGTAGTAATGGCCTCTAGCTTATCTGTCTTTAATCCTCATGCACCAGGATGGGACATTTTAGTTCCCCAAAGATAGGTTTTGTAGCATAATTGACACAGAACTACAGTGAACACATTCTCATCTGAACAGTTATAAACAATTTCATTGATTTTTAAGCCCCTTGCTAAGTGGGCTTCTTTAAAACACATGTACAAATGACAAACAGTCAAGACAAAATGTCCCAACAAATCTATTGACTTTTGCCAGTTATACTTTTTATCCCAGCTATTATAGTGAATCGGGATAGCTTTTGTTTTTTTCGTAAACACTGAAACAACAAAGCTGAAGTGACATGCTTTGTCAGTAGGTTGACTCAATGTGGGAGGAATAAAAATTTCTGCCATTGGGTGGAAGGTAAAAATTCTAATTGAGAATGAGGTATATGTTAAATCCTATTCCTAACTTATACCCTAATATACAATATACTGGAATTCTCAGTGGGTTGGAAAACAGATTTTTCACAGACATCTTTTTTTTTTAACCAAAATTGAGTGCATAGAAGTTAAAACAGTTATGGGCAACTGTTATCTTCCAGGTAGTGTTGGACTGCAGCTCCCATCATCCTTAGCCAGCTTAGCCAATGGTGCTGAATGCTAGAAGATGTAGTCATAAATATCTGAAGGTTCATATTTGTCCAAGCCTGTTTCAAAAGATTATACTAGTAGAAGCTGGTGCCATCCATATCAGATATATATAAAGCAATGCTGCTGACTGATGAGTTCTGGATATTATTGCATTGATGTTTCACTTATGTTATTTTAATTACCATGATTTTAATCTGTACTAGTTTAATACTGTTTTAAGGGGGGGGAGGGTTTGGAGTTTGATTATATTGACTGTATTGGAATTTTAATATGCTGTTAGCCGCCCCGATTGTTCTCAAAGGGACGGGATATAAATAAATTATTATTATTAATTATTATTATTATTATTATTATTATTATTATTATTATTAGTGGAGTGGTGAATCTAATGAATATCAATGATTGGGCAACAACACTAGGAGAAGAATAAGGCCTTTGTTTTGTGTTAGTGGCCTTCCCAGAGACATATGACTAGCCACTAGATGGAAAGTTGGCTTGATCCACATTCTTATGTTTTTATTCAGCTAGCTCTCTCTATGCAAAGCCAGGCTGCTAGGAGTTACAACTGATTGCAAAAGCAGTAACTTAAAGAAATAAAATAATATGTGTGATCTCTATTAAACAAGTTGGAACATATGATGCCTTCTGTGCCCGGAGGAAGAAATAGGCAACATCTGGGGGCATTAAACTCTCACTGAACCACAGATGATGTTTGCAAGAGATGAGTCACAGCACTGGAGTCAGGAATGATTACAGGCATAATTAGCCATTTTTTATTTTTATTTTTTTGCAAAATGTTCTCTGAAACATATGATGTTACTGTTGTGACTCGTTTCACAATATAGTGTTAACAGCAGAGAAGATCAGGAGAAGTATACATCACAATAATAATTTGTCATTGTTACTATTGCCATAGGATTATTTTTTGGTAATAACGAATATATAGAATGAAACCAATGAGCAAATTTGTTCATTTGTTTACTTTCTGAAAGACCTTGCCCTTGCCCTTTCTTTACCCTTTCCAAAGACCTTTCTCAAATACTCAGCTCCTTTCAATAAGCTCCTTCTTTCTGCCTAATTCTTAAGGCATAATCATGGATGCATTTTTTTCAGTTCTACAAAAGTGCAGAAAGGCCAGCCTAGTTATCAGCCACAGAACTGAACATCCTAAATGTTTGGCCTTCATTTTTAAAATAAAAACAACAAAATATCACAAGTATCTAGCCCTCATTGCTGCAAAATGGAGGGTTTAAAGAGTGTAGCTGATAAAATCTCCGAAATCAGAAGGGGATATGTAGGATTTTTTTAATACTTCAGCTGGATTTATTACCTAGGAACACTCATATGTAGAGATGGAAAGAGACGTTTTTTATAAGTTCAGGGTTATTAGATTTGTAATAATACACTTTCAACTGTTCTGTATCTTTATATAGTTAATTAGGTTCTCCCAGTCTTTTTCAAATTTCTCTTTCGGTGAGTCTCTTAATAACTTCCAAAATGGCTTATCATTTTCCATACATTCTACTATTTTTTGTATCCAATCCCTTATGTCTGCGGCTTCTCTTTCCTTCCATTTACTGGCGTACACTACCCTCACTGCCATGATCATATAAAAAAGAACTTTCCCATATAAACTTTCATGTCTTTCTTCTACCATTCCTAATATATACACTTTGGGGACTAATTTCATTTTAATCTGCAGCACTTCTTTAATTTTACTATTAACTTGTTTCCACCAATTTTGGGCTTTCATACATGTCCACCACATGTGGAACATTGTACCTCTCCTTTCTCTCCTGCATTTCCAGCACCTATCTGGTGAGTTCTTGTAAATTTTACTGATTTTCACAGGAGTCAAGTACCACCTGAATTGGATTTTGTAATAATTTTCTTTCACATCTGAGGACAATGTATATTTTAGTCTTTTTCCCCAATTTCATTCCCACTCTCCTAGATTTATATTTTTTCCCCATTTCTTGACCATACAGTCCTTCACTTGTTCCTCTACTGCAGGGACAGGCAACCTTTTTGAGACCTGGGCCAGTCTCAAAAGGGTTGCCTCTCGGCTGGGTCGAGGGGGGGGGGGAATGGCGGCGCATGCGCACGCGCACCCTCCTCCTCCGCCGTGTGCAACCCCCCCACGCACGCGGCCACCGCCATAGCGCACACGGCTGCGGCCGCCACGGCGGATGTTGCGGCTGCCATTTTGGAAGTCAAAATGGTGGCAGCGACGCGTTTGCGCATGCACAAGAGTAGTGCGCATGCGCAAACACGTCACGACTGCCATTTTGACTTCCAAAATGGCAGCCGCGACAAGCGCAGCCGAAAACGCCCCCCAACGGCAGCGCACGGCGGCGGCGGTAGCGCGTGGCGGCGGCAACGGCGGCAACCTTCGGCCTGGGCCGGTAAGTCCGGGGCTCGGGGCCTTAACCGGCCCCCGGGCCATAGGTTGCCGGTCCCTGCTCTACTGTCTTCAGTTTCAAAATCCTTTTGTAAAGTTTCGATATTATTTGATTACTTTCATTTATCAAGACAGACCCTAGTTCTGATTTCTGCGTATTGAACTCTTCTGTTTTACTATCTAATTTAAATCTTTCTTTCATTTAGTAATATGTGAACCAGGAGAGATCAAATCCTTCTGTTTTAAGTTCTTCCCTCATTTTTGATCTTAGCTTATTATCCAATTCTTTCTTTAGTATATCCCCATATTTCAGCCAAGTATCGTTTGTAAAGCCTTCTGTGTAGTGGAATGCCTCCGCAGGAGATAACCAAAGTGATAGTCCCCACGATATCATTCTTCTGTATTTGGTCCAAATTCTATAAAAAGATTTCCTGGCTATATGGTCTTCAAAGTCCCGGTTGGCTTTCAGCTTATTATAAAATAAATAATCGTGCCACCTAAAACTAAGGTATTACCACATGCATCTAAACTAAGAAGCTGTCTGTTTGATAATAATATCCATTTTCTTATCCATTCTAAGTAGGCTGCTTTGTAATATATTTTAAAAATTGGAACTCCTAAACCCCCTCTAGTCTTCTCCACTGTCAGTGATTTAAATTTAATTCTGGGTTTGCCCCCTCCCCAAATAAACTTTGTTATTTCTCTTTGCCAGGATTTAAATAGTTTCTCATTGGACAAGACTGGGATGTTTTGAAATAAAAACATCATCTTTGGTAGGACTGCCATTTTAATAGTGGCTATCCTACCTACCATAATAAAGATAATTTTATATTCTCCCATTTCGATAGGTCCTGTTTGAATCATTCCAGATACTTGTATAATTATTTTTATAGATGTCTGTATTCTTTGTTGAGAAGATGATGCCTAAATATTCTGGTAAAACACCCAATGAAGGATGTGTTTCTGTAAATCTTTAAGAAATGGGAGTTATTACTCTTTATACATAATTCATTGCAGAGCCAGCATGGTGTAGTGGTTTGAACATTGGACTACAACTCTGGAAACCAGGGTTCAAACCCATACTGAGCTGTGAAAGCCCACTGGGTGATCTTGGGATAGTCTACTCCAGGGGTAGGCAACCTAAAGCCGGGGGGGGCGCGGATGTGGCCCCCGAGGCCTTTGGACTGGCCCCAGGCCGATCCTGCCACCGCCACCGCCGCTGCCCCCCGCCGCTGCCTGCCATGATGATATTGATTATTGCTGTTATTACTTGTTCTTGGGGTTTTCTTGGCAAAATCTCCACAGGGGTTTTGCCATGGCTTTTCTGGGGCTGAGAGAGTGTGCATGCATATTTTTTAAAAAATGCACGGATATATATATATATATATATATATATATATATATATATATATAATTTTTAAATTTAAATTTTTATTTATTTATTTATTTATTTATTTATTTTTGGTGCTTCGGCCCCCCAGTTGTCTGAGGGATAGCAACCCGGCCCCTGGCTCAAAAAGGTTGACTACCCCTGGTCTACTCTCTCCACAAAGGCAAACCTCCTCTGAAGAAATCTTGCTAAGAAAACTGCATGAGAGGTTCACCCTAGGGTCACCATAAGTTGGGAATTACTTGAAGGCACACAACAACAACACTGAAGCACGTATCTTTGATTTTTTTAAAAAAATATAAGTGGTATATAATATTTTTAAATAAAAAAAAATCTTACATACACAGATAATACAGGCCCCTATTCAGTAGTCTGTCTCTGAGGTTGAAGAGAAACCACAGTTGCTGGTCATTTCACTGTCCCATACTAGGAACCTATCACACACACACACACACACACACACACACTTTCCAAAAGGACACCCTTTAACTGGCACCACCATCTGAGATCTGTATATGCTATTTTTAATTTAAATTTATGGAGGATACTTTATGATATGACAAATGGATATAATTAACTGAAATGGAAAATGATTTTGGCGGAGGGGCAGCAAAATCTAATTGCAAGTTAAATTTAGTGACAATCAGACAAGCAAAACTGTGGTGGAACAATGCCACCCTTCAGATGTTGTTGGGACTGTAATTTCTGACATTCCTCACCATTGTATATGCTAGCTAGGGTTGCTGGGAGTTGCAATCCCACAAAATCTGGAAAGATTAATGATTCCCATTCTTGGGCTAAAGCCAGGCAGTGTAATCCAAAACATAGAAAAGTTTGAATTTTGTATATTTTAACCTGAGTTCTAACATTGACAACTGCAACTCTGATATACCAGAAATAAATAATGGCCAAGATCATACCTCTGCACATCGCTTTGCACACACAGCTCCACATCCCTCCCCAATCCTGGGAATTACCAGTAAGGAGTGGGAGGTGATTCAGACCACAGAGAAGGAGTTGGTCTCAGCACGGGGGGGGGGGGGGGGGGGGGGGGGGAGAGAAATAAGGACATGTTCTCAAATAGAATTTATCCACCTTTTCCTTCCCCGAGGAGCTCAGAGTAGTCAGATCTTCATGGCCTGAATTGCCTCCTCACCGGTAAGTGACGACAGCAGAGGCCCTTCCAGAGCTGCCAGGTGAGGGGAAGTTTGAGGATGGACCACAAGGACAGGAGAATAACTCTCTGTTCTCTGTCCAAAAAGGGTCTCATGCATGTGTAAATCACTGACAGGATGCTGGCCAAGGTAAACAGACAGGTAGGTCCCCAAAGGAGAACTCAAGATGTATCTGCATTACACAGTTGTATCACCACTGTACCGATTTATTTGTCATAGGATTAAATATCCAAAGAAATCCTGATATTTGCATTCTGATCAGATATTTAAAACATACCAACATATCCTGGAAAGAGAGGGTCAAATCAGATTAATTTGATAGTGCAGACAGATAGTGCAATTTGTGGATTGGACTAGAGCTTTTCAGCAGAAAGTTCTATGTACTGCACCAAGCTACAAATCCCAGGATTTCTCATGATGGAGCTATGTCATTTTAAGTGGTATCAAATTGCTATCAATTGTGTAGTGCAGATACACCAGCAAAGCATACAGAACTATTCAGACAAACAAGCTTCTCAGTCAGGGAACCTAGCCTGAGTTAGCAATTATAAAGACCAATTCCTACTAGGTCCCTTATTGGCTCCACAGATTCAATAAGATTTGGTTGGACTGACAAGTTCAAGATCTTTCAGCTTTCATTGTCCCAGCATTGCAAAGCAGGAAGAACAAAGATATTTGCTGGAAGTCAAACTCAGCCAGTACTTCAAGGTCTAGCAAATTCCTCACTTGCCTCAAAGACAATTTCTTTGTCCAAAAGGTGGAAGAGGCAACAAGGGGATCAGCTATTTTAGATCTGATCCTAACCAACAGGTGACCTGGTCAATGGGGTGCAAGTGGTGGGATCGTTAGGTGAGAGTGATCATGTTCTCCTGGAGTTTCTTATATAGTGGAAAGGAGAAGCTAGGCATAGTCAGACACTCATTTTAGACTTTAGGAGAGCTGATTTCAACAAACTTAGGGAAATACTGGGAGTGATCCTATGGTCAGGAATACTAAAGGAGAAGGGAGTTCAGGATGGATGGGAGTTTCTCAAAAGGGAGACATTGAAGGCACAATCTCAAACTGTTCCAAAGAGAAGGAAAAATGGGAGATGTCTCAAGAAACCAGATTGGATGACAAAAGAACTTTCAGCTGAACTAAGTTTTCAATGGGTGATGTATAAGAAATGGAAAAGGGGCAAAATCACTAAAGAGGAATTCAAGCAAATAGCTATCACATGTAGGGGTAAAGTCAGGAAAGCCAAAGCTTTCCTGAGCTCAGGCTTGCTAGAGGGGTTAAGGACAATAAAAAGGGCTTTTTGGGGTATGTTGGTAGCAAAAGAAAGAAGAAAGAAATAGTAGGGCCACTGCGCAGAGAAGATGGAAAAATTCTAACAGAGGACAGAGAAAAGGTAGAACTACTTAATACCTTTTTTGCCTCAGTCTTCTCACAAAAGGAAAAGGGTGTTTACTCTGAGGAAAATGGTGCAGAGGACACAATAGGGAAGATACAGCACAGAATAAATAAAGAGGTAGTACAGGAATACCTGGTTAATCTAAATGAATTTAAGTCTCCAGGACCAGAGGAACTACATCCAAGGATATTGAAAGAACTGGCAAATGTAATCTCAGAGCCACTGGCAATAATCTTTGAAAACTCCTAGAGAACAGGAGAAGTCCCAGCAGACTGGAGGAGGGCAAACATTGTCCCCATCTTCAAAAAGGGGAAAAAAGAGGATCCCAACAACTATCGTCCAGTTGGTCTGACATCAATACTGGGAAAAATTCTTGAACAGTTCATTAAACAGAGAGTCTGTGAACATTTAGAAGGGAATGCCATAATCACCAAAAGTCAACATGGGTTTCTCATAAACAAATCATACCAGACTAATCTGATCCCTTTTGTTTTTTGATAAAATTACCAGCTTGCTAGATGAAAGGAATGCAGTAGAC